CCTGCAGAGCCTGACTCCTAGCTAAAATCTTCTTGTAAGCAAGTTATGCTTACCCTATTTTAATATAGCTTATATTTAAAATTAATATTGTTATTATGAACTTATAATAAATATTTGAGCTATTAACTACTCGCGGTATGGAAAATCTGGTTTAAAGGGCCGCATAGGGTTGTTGGATTTCAGAAATGCTATATGCCAAAATGGTCCTGCCCTCCGGAGTTTTATGTATGGCCCCTATCTGTACATACTGGTTGGAAAGTATTGCTTAAACGCTTATATAATAATAATAATAATAATAATAATAATAATAATAATAATAATAATAATAATAATAATAATAATAATAATAATAATAATAATAATATAATAATAATAATAATAATAATAATAATAATAATAATAATAATAATAATAATAATAATAATAATAATAATAAGACTAATAGTTAGTCACGGTAAATTTTAGACTAAAATCTAGTGGTAATAATACTAGGTTTCGTCGAAGGAAATTATTTTAAAGTAAACGAAGCGTTGTCCGAGTACCGAGTCACCACCTTCTCAGGTGAGTGCATAGTTGCTTTCATCTTACACATAGATATGAAGTATTTTATATAAATTACGTGCTATGTGTGCATATTATCTGAAAACTTGCTGTCTATGTTGGATGAACGATTTTATACATGTTTTAAATGATTTAAACTATATATGTATTTTATATCTATGATAATGTTGGGGTAAAACATGGGTAGATGTAATAGATGGAATATGAGTTTGATGATGAGTTGAGAGGTGTTATAGACCACGAGGTGGGGGTCGGAGGTGGATGATGCGCGAAGCCTTTTCCCAAACGATGGCCCCATAATTCAACAGAGTATGGATGACAACCACAGACTATTCTATACAGTCCAATGGAACACTAGCAGGCTCGCAACCTGTAGGTGTTGTGAACGATGTGTTCACCCGGTGTACTCTAAACCTTGGTGACCATGCAAACTTGGTGCCTAAACCTTGGCGATCATGCAGACTTGATGCCTAAACCCTGGCGACTATGTAGACTTAGTGCCCGTTGTGTAAACCTTGGCGATCATGCAGACTTGATGCCTAACCGCTGGAGACTATGCAGACTTAGTGTCTGTTGTGTAAACTGTGGCAATGATGGACTTCGTTCCGATTACTTAGGATGATCCTTAGGAATAAATGAACGACGAATAGCTCATTCTTAGGGTAGATCCTTAAGAATAAAGAAGATAATAGGGATGGGTATTGGCTTGATTGCTTAATTGTTTAAACATAATAATTATATTATTGTGGGTTGAAAACCCTATCTACTCATCAGGTTTCCCAACCTGACCCACCTAGTTTATTTATATCACATGTGTTGTTATGAAGTCACATTACACTGAGAGATTAAGGAGATATAAATCATTAGTGATAATGAATGTAAGTTATGTTTATGCTTATGTTTCTGTATTGATGATGACATCCCAAATGTTTTAAATGAATAAAAATACTTTTCTTTGGAAATTCTTTGATAACGTATTTATCATGTTTTACTAGGAACAAATTCCGCAACATTTTTATTAAAAGATGTACTCTGATTTTCATAAATGATAAACCAAATTGTTTTTTTTTTGCTCTGAAAATGGGGATGTCACACTCGATGTCTGCGATCCATCTCCTAGCAGCAATGGGGTCCTTCACCCCATGGAAGTCCAGCGCACTACTCCCTCTGAAGTCCTTAAGGGACAGTGTGTGCATACCTGTCTGGCTAGACGCCAGATCACTCCTGAATGCCCGAAGGTGATCCTCCATCAGCTCCATGATCCCCTCCTTAATCGACCCGAAAATGACTGGGGTCGCATCAAGGATGCCTCTCGTAATCTCAGACGCGATGAACTCGCACAAACCATCATCAACATGCTCGGATCCCGCACCTGAACCTGATCCTGATCCTCATGCTCCATGACGTGTGACCACCATTCTGAAAATAAACACATAGACGTCAAGATCATACATACTCTTGAGAGGTCTCACACTCTCTCCAAGTTTCCTGGTTCCATCTCGGCCCTCCTTGACTCGAGTACGGATCCTCTGCTTCCAGTAGTACGGGCTCATACTACCTTCCACATCTATCCGTACTCTCCTCAAGGATTGCTTCGACTTCACCAAGTCCCTTTGCCGATACCCTTTTTCCATTAATTTCATCCTAGGCTTTCCTGGGGCAACCTTCCACCTACTCTCCGCCATCAGCTACACTAAGAGTCCTTACCATGTCCCCCTGACTAGCTTGTGGATACTGCTACATATCCGCTCGCTAGTTAGTTAAAGTTGGCCGAAACCCCTATAGCATAAGGCAAGCAACATTTGTGCATTGAGTAACCACATCAAGCATAACCTAATCATGCTATCCTACAACTAACTAAATAGTCCTAGCATACAGCTCATACAACAGGCATATAAGGCATCCTTCCTAGATCCTTAGCCCTAATCTAGCATACAGTTCTCAGAATCATAAATCGAATAACATAGCATATCAAGTATGGGTATCTTGGGGAAAACTTACTTGAGGTCGGCTCGTAGCACGCATGACACACCTTGTTATTTCTCGAAATTCCTTAATTTAGATTTTAGGAAACCATTTTCTTTATAAAAATCTTTTAATCCCATGGTTTGAGTCCAGACACCCCCAAGGGTGTGTCTAAATCCCTCAAACCAGGGTTGTGATACCAACGTGTAACATCCATAAATTTGAGGCCAAAAAATTTCATTTTTCAATTAAGTAAATCATAAAATATGTTACCAAAACATTGTCAATATTACATCAGGTTTAAACTACAATGTCGTGTCTCAAAATCATAACATCCTAAGTGATGGAAATCATAGTACAATCCCAAAAGCTCATTACAGAAATCATGTGTGAATATGTGATGCGCTGCTACACTGCCGACTCCTTCCCATTAGACGAAGAGGTACCTGAAACCAAAACTGAAACTGTAAGCACAAAGCTTAGTGAGTTCCCCCATCATACCACATACCATAATATCATCGGTATCTTTCAACCAGTAACTGTCATCGGTGTCTTTCAACTGATATCCATCATCGGTATCTTTCAACCGGTAACTGTCATTAGTATCTTTCAACCGGTAACTACCATCGGTATCTTTCAACCGCTAACTAGGGACTATTTCACCCCTACGACTATCATACAATAACACGATATAATCATACAGTCAAGTATAACTAGGTACTGACCTACCCCTCGATCCTAAAGACTGATGTCAAGGAAAAACTAATCCCTACCATTACCATTAACACACATAACATATCACACATGCATATCTCATGACCAAACCACATAACCATACCAAGATAATTATCACAAAGACAATCATCTACCAAATACCCTTGTTGGTGGGCCGTCATTGTGGCCTTATACCCACCCCTACTGGAAGGTAACTCACCTCGAACGAGTAGCTGCCAATAATTTGCACGGGAAATCTCTGTCTGTTGCTGCTCCCGAAATCCTCCGACTATAATCCCCACAAAAACACTTAATCAAAGTATGATATATATATATATATATATATATATATATATATATATATATTCTTAGGGTAAAATAACCATTTTACCCCTGACCAAGTCCAGGTCAAAGTCAACTTCCAATTGACCTGACTCGCCTAGTTGGGCCGCCAACTCGTCGAGTCCCTATCCCTTTAACTGTCCTCATCCATGTCTCTACTCATCAAGTTTAGCAATGACTCGATGATTTCTCCTCCTATGTAAATCGTTGAAGGATCCTTCATCCGACTCACCGAGTTGTATGAGCAACTCACCGAGTTTATCCTCATCCTATGAACCAGTCCTGTCCTAGACTCGCCGAGTTGTAAGAACAGCTAGTTGAGTCCATCTTCAAATGTTGGGAGATTGACTTGATGTAACCGAGTCGGATCATGCACTCGCTGAGTCCTATGAACTCCAGGACTATGGCTTATCCCAAAACGTTGGGTCACTCCCTTGGACCCTCTAAAACCTTTCCAACACAAAACTGGGTCTCTTTGACCCGTAACAGAAAAGGGGAGTCTAACCTCGGACTCACCAAGTCCTAATAACGACTCGCCAATTCAATACTGTCCAATCTTATTTCTTCTATTTCTGGTGTACAACTCTTGTCCAAATGATAGATCTGAGTCCCTAAACTCGATCTAGCATGTAAAGTTACTAAGTTTAAGTGCATGCATGGGACTTTGAGCCAAAAGGATCTAAAAGAGACTCTTAAGTTGCATGGGGACTTCCATGGGTTCAAAAGCATCCCTTTTCTGCCTTATAACTCCTTCATGGATTAGATCTGAAGCCTCAACCCCCAACCATGCTTGCAATCATGGTTGGTCACCAAGAATGGTTTATAAAAGCCCTAAATCTCCCCAAAAAGGGATCTAGAAAATGAACAAACAAGGTATCGACTTTATACCTTCTGAGAACTGCAAATGATGCACAAACTCGAACTCCCTTGGTCTTCTCTTGACCCTCTAGTCCCTTCCTTCTTCATTGTGATCAAAATCACCAAAAATCACCAAAAATGCCTTAAGATCTTCACACACAAAGTTAGGGTTTTATAGGGGGGGGGGCGTTTCTGGAAGCAATAGGGACGAAGGTTTGTTGAAAGAGATGATTGAATAGGGTGCGAACCCTTAGATTAGGGTTTTTTCCAGTCATAGTCTACTCGTTGAGTCTAGAGGCCGACTCGATGAGTCCGTCATTTAAATCGTGTAACCAATCCACTTCTACTCGACGATGGGCCTTCAACTCGTCGATTCCCAGGCCAAAAATGCAAAATACTTAAATAAATACATACCAGGAACCAGGTGCTACACAGACCCTATTCAAATTGTATATAGTCCGATTGAACCTAGTTTTGTAGCCCAAAACATTGAAAGGACATTCACTGAGTCGTCACCAGTGATACAAGAGATTTCAAGCCCGTTACCTGAATCCACTCCTATGGATCAGGATTTCGAAAGCCCTATTGTTGAACAAGAAGTCTTCCCTTCAGAAGGGGCTCAAGCTTCAGGAAGCTCCTTTGAAGCTCCCGAGCTGGATATTTCAAAAGGCAAAAGCAAGCAGCCTGAGTCTGAATTTGTGGATGTCGCTCTGCTTCAGAACATGGTTTTTGATTTGGAATAGAGCTCAGCTGAAAAGGATTTGATTATTGGAAATCAAGACATTATAATCAGTGAGCTTGAAAAGGAGAACTCCTTTAAAGATTCAAAGACTTCAAAACTTCAAGAAAATCTTTGTGGTCTAACTTCTTTGTTCTTTGACCCGAAACAACACTTACATCAAAAGTTTGGCAATAATTTTCAACCTTTAAGCGCTGAAGGAGAACAGATTTCTGCTTCTAGTTCTAGTCCAGTCAATCCAACTTCTCAACCTCCAAGTGAAAGACTTGTAAGACATGCTACGGATGCAAATCTTGACACATTTTTATCTTCTAGCCCTGCTTCTGCTCAAGAAAGAAGATTGGGAAGAAACATTCAAACCAAAATGCTAGTAACGAAACATTCAAACCAAAATGCTCCAGGTGATCACCCTGAGATGTTTTACAAGTAGTTTGGGAGGAAATTTATAGATAAATATGGGGACCACTTTGGTATTCTGATGTTGGGATTTGATGTTGATAAGAAAATTTAGATCGTATAGAGAAAGACAAACAAATTGAGTATTATGAGAAGAAAGACGACTTTCTGTCCTGGATAAAACTTGATATTTTTGAGCTTATTCATGCAGCTTTCCACAATCCAACTAATGATCCCATGGCCTGGTCCTTTAAGAGTTTTCTTGAGGATAAAGCTAAAAATAACTTTGAAGGAATGAAGACTGCTTCATCGTTTACTAAAAATGCCAAGGATATCATTGATCATCACACTAGGAAAACCATGGTAAATGTTATGTGGTCGCCTACAAAACAAGCTAAAAGGATTCCGCTTCGCAAACGTTTACCAGAAGGCACTTTGGACTCAATGCAATTCTGGGGTTATGATGATGCTATTGCACCGGTAGTGATCAAGCTGAAAAAGAACCAATATCGCATTGTTGATCCCAAAGACTTATTGAGGCTTTGTGAATGTGATATCCGAAATTTGTCAAAATTTCAAATAGATATTGAGAATGAATTGTTTGAAGCTGCTGCTAAAGCCTTCACCGGAATGGTAGCTACCATAATTGAATAGAAGTTGTGGGCTGGGGCATTTGATCAGGAAGACGTGCATCTGGTGGAGAAGCCTTGAAGAGAACTAAAAACAATAAATCAAGAGGGAGACTGTTGGGCTATATTTTGTGGTTTATGCTTTGTTTTTGTATGTCATATGTGTTCTCGGTTGTGGATTGAAATCACTGGTGGGCTTAGTGTTTTCGATGGGCTTGTTGTGTTTGAGCTATAGGTTATTTGGTGTAGTATACATATGGTTTGTGTATAGCTATTCAAGGTTAATGCATTTTTGGCCAGTTGGAGTCTATTCACGGTTGAAGAGTAAGTGAATGGACCTGACAATTGATCAATAGAATTGGGTGCATTCATTAAAATGTGTTCATTGATTAATCTAATTGTTTGTTTGTTTTGTATAATTGTTTGATTAAGATTCCGAATAAACTCAAACAATTGCATTGATACCTTAAGAAGATCCGAGTTTTAGGACTTATAGGAAGAAGGACCCTATTGCCAGTAGACGATGGATTGCTAACATAGAGAATGCCCAACAAACAAGTTTATGATCTAAGGGATCGAAGGTGGGATTTGCCCCTTTCTTTTTGCATGATGGAGCCCACGACTGGTAGGAGGAGGTGGACCAGTCATTCTTGGGAGTTGAGGTCGTGGTGGCCTTGTCTTGGACTGATTTTATGATGAGATTCAGGGGAGATTTTTCATTTTCCATTAAGGTGCAACAGTTGGCAAGGGTGTTTCAGTAACTTCTCCAAACGACAGAGACTATGGCAGAGATCACCGCCAAGTTCAGGGAGATGGCTTTACTGGTTCCGCAGTATGTTGCAGATAAGAAGATGAAGAAGACAAGGTACCATGATATGTTGAGGGATGATATTTGGGAGTTTGTGAGCCTATCGAGTTGTAAGACCTTGGAGGATATGATTGCTAGAGCCTGTGAGTGGGAGATTCAGTTAGAACTTTGTACGAAACAAAAGTCAGTTTAGGATCAGAGAGCAGAGGGTTCAACAAAGAAGCCCACGACTTTTGATTCATGAGCTAAAGGCTAGATGGGCTGGGACCATTATGGCAGTTGCAAGAAACATCACGATGGAATTTGTCGATTTGGAGGTATCGTATGCAATAAGTGCGACAGGGATTGTCCTCAGAGACCGAGTCTGATTTGCTTTCACTACAACCAAACGAGTCACAAGAAGGTTGACTGCCCAAGACTGTGAAGTGAATAAGTGAGGGAACCTACTTTGGCTACGCTAAGGATTATTGATGGTCATGAGGGCATGTTGGAGACTCCAATGGTGAGGAGTCGAGCACTTTAGTTGATGGTCGAGGAGGCTCGAGTTCCGCCAGATGTTTTAGCTAGTACGTATCGTATTCATTTCCTTTTAGCTTTAATTTATCATGTTTTATAATTATGTGATTATTTATTCTAGTTGTTAAGCCTCCTGATTGCCTAGTTTTTTTTGTTCAATGGATTGTCATATGCCATTTTTCATACCAAGATCCATGTTTAGAGTGTATATGAATGTGCTGGTTTTAGGCTTCGATGTGGGAGACATTGGCCAATCATAGAGTGAGCCCTAAGTGGGGGGGGGGGGGACTGAGTATCCTACTTGGAGGATCAACAACCAGATTGATTTTGATGGTTTCAGTGCAATGGGTCCAAGGAAGTTGTAGTGTAATTATACTAGATTTTTTTTGAATTTTGGGGTTCATCGAGATCCTTTATGGATGCAAGGTAAGGAGGGATTTGTCAGACTGCGAGTGTATAGTTAGTTTCCATCAGGTTCATGCCTTCAGGGATGTGTATGTGGTCCTTACATCAAAAGATTAGGTTAAAGGGTTCTTGAGCTGCTCAGGCAGCTGAATGGCAGTTGCAGGGTTGGTTAGCTCGTTGTACTGACCGCTATCTTCAGTGGAGGAAGATTCGTTATTGATCTATCAACCAACTTCACGTCATGGTTGATGCGTTTTCGCAAGGGTTTTGTTTAGTACTAAGTGGATCATTAGATTAGTTATCTATCCATTTTCGATACTTGGTTTATTCATTCTTTTTCATCGATTGAGTTTGTTTGAGTATTTTGGAGTTGCATTAGTGGAAGGTACTTGGGAGGCATCAATATTTCATCAATTTTAGTGAAGCGTGTAACCTGGTTTTTGGGTGTGTGTACCCTAGGTTGTCTGGTCGTAGAAGCTTAGTTCTTGCAAAATAGAGTTAGTGGTGGTCTTGAGTAGTATAGTTCTAGGATGGCTTGGAAATTCGAATGGTTATGAAGTTGGCAAAGTGTAGTTGAATCAAAATGGGGGCGAATCACTTAGCACTAATGGGAATATTTCCAAATGCGAGTTAACCTGGAGTTTCATACCTAAGGACAAGAGGTAGATAGTTTTGGTTATGGTATGAGCGAAGCTTATGCAAGGAATATTTTTACTTCTATTGTTTATGGCTGAGTATTCTAGTGAATAGTTGGAAAGACCATGGGGGTGCCCATGGTGTTTTCGGAAGTGTTGTAAGACTACATTCTGGCTCGTAGCATTCACTAGATTTGGATGATCTATTGTGGAAGTGTTGTAAGACTACCATTTGGCTTGTAGCATTCACTAGATTTAAATGAGCTGTTGTGGAAATGTTGTAAGACTACAATTTGGCTCATAGCATTTACTATATTTAGATAAGCTATTCTGGAAGTGTTGTAAGACTACAGTTTGATTCATAGAATTCACTAGATTTAGATGGGTTGTTGTGGAAGTACTATGAGACTACAGTTTGGCTCGTAGCATTCACTAGATTTAGATGAGCTGTTGTGTGAGTGTTGAAAGGATACGATCTAACTCGAAGCATTCATTTGGTTAAGATAAGAAATTGTAGGATCTATTGTAAGGCTATGGGAGGGCCTAAAAATTCATATGGTTGAGGTAGAGGGTTAGATGAGTTGGGATGGGTGTGATGTAAGACTACCACTTGGCCCTTAGCATTCACCTGGAGTGAAGAGGACTTGTTGTTGTTCATTGATTGGCTAGACAATCATCCTTTGTTTACACTGGAGAGTTGTTCGACCGTGTTAATGGATAGGATAGGATATCCTTTGTCAGTTAGACTATTGGTTGGGGTCTCGGGGTCCGGCCATGTGTGGGGTCGTTAGCTTTAGCAATCGGAAGGAAATTATGTAATCCAGTTTATTAGTAGGACAAATGGAACTAGGAAGATCTTGGACAGATCGAATTTGCAAATTTTTGGACAACATGATGTAATATATGTGTAAGGGTAGCACCAATGGTTGGGTCTCATGTCGGGAGCCGCCTTCATATTTGATTGCAAGGTTTTTGACATCGGCTAATGGTCATGGGTTCTATTTTCTAGTTATTAGTAAGAAAATGGAGGGCCAGAGAGGTTTTGGTTGATTCTGGTTATGGATTAGGGTTTTCATGGATGTCGTTTGAATGGTTATGTCTGTCTAGACGTCAGGCAAAAACATTGGGTTTTTAGATTTCGGGAAAAATAGTTAGACCTTCTCTATGTTGGTTAAGTGTACTGTGTTAGTGTTCGTTTCCTCGTCAGGATGCATCATCTCTGAAAATATTGGGTTCGGTAGCAGTATCAGAAGGTGGTTGTCTATATGGGATGATTTTTTTAGTACTGTTTTGGATTCAGGTAGTTCAGATGGAGTCAGATGGTGTAGTAGAGAAAGTTATAAAGAGTGATTTTGAGGAGTAAATCTAATTTAAGTGGGGAAGAGTTGTAATACTCGTCTCACAAAATTGATCAGTTTATGGAATAAAGGAGTCAAAGGCATGGTTTTAAAGGAAAACCACATGTCACAACATGACAGGAAGGATGTCATAACATGACATACCAAATATGAGATGGATGTCATGATGTGACAAGGCTATGTCCACAACACGACGATAGCTACAACGTAAGCCTATGATCTTTTAGTGTTTCCTCCATATTTAAACATCTAACCTCAAATTTTGGGTTTCATTTCCATCCTCCACCACCCTCTAAAACCTTGAAGCAAACCCTAATACCCTTTTCTTCATTTATGAGCTTATCCTTGGTGTTTTGTTGCATTTGGAAGAAGGAAGAAGGCCCTTGTGGTATAGAGAACCTCTTGGTAAGCTAGAGGAATTCATTTGAGCCATTTATGGACCATTGTAAGTGTTCAAGATCTAAGCTTTATGTAGCATGCTTCTAGATCTAGGATCCTTGTACCTTTTTCTTCGTGTTATGAAAGTTTCGATGGAAGGATTCTATAAAGTTGAAAACTTTATGCGTGAGTTCATGCTAGGTCAAAATGATGAAAAATGTAACCATAACCACATATATGAATGCAAAGCTTATCCAGAATTTATATCCAACATATGTAAATCTTGAGGGACCTCTAGACATTCATTAGACATGTATGTCTATAACTAATTGATTTTTAGAATGTTATTGGAGTAAAAAGGCACTTTGGGAAGCCGGAATGGATGCATTGAAGGATTAAGAGATGAATGTATTAAGTTGCCCAAATATAGTGGTCACAACATGATCATTTAGAGGTCACGACATGACCTTGAGACTCATCGGCTATTTTGGATGGATTCTGTCACGAATGTGGTGGCATAACCATCATGATGTGACCATGGTTTTGATCGGGGCCGAATTATTCATATATGAAGTTTTGGATTGGGTTGAGTTTGTTAGCGATGACATGACTATGAGTTGGTCACGACGTGAGTATCAGTTGTTGTTGATGTTACCTATTGAAGTTGACCTTGACCGTTACTTTATTCATGGGTTGAATTTTGGTCAAATTTCTAATTGTAGAATGTATACTAAGGATTTACCTTGTCTGGTTTATTAGGAGGTGTATAGCACCCATACCTTGGCTACGAGAGTTGTTAGTTGTTGATTATGTCGGTAAGGTGAGTCTTCTCACTATATTATGTAGATTGCTATATTATCTTTGTGACTCTTGCATGAAAGACTATGGTTGGATCAAAACACTTGTAAGAAAGACTATGGTTGGA